CATTTGGCGTGACTCTGTATTTATACATCCCGTCATTGTGTTATTGTTCTATGCTAATTTTTGTATTCTTGTCTTTCTTTTTGCTAATGTGCTTTGTCTATATGCCTTTTTTGTGTTTCTTTGATACATATGCATGGCTCTGTACTTATACATCCCGTCATAGTGTTATTATTCTATGATAATTTTTGTATTCTTGTCTTTCATTTTTGCTAATGTGCATTGTCTATATCAGTATATGCCTTTTTGCGCTTCTTTGTTACATATTTGTTTGTTTTTATAGTGATTAAGATTCTAACACAATGTTGACTGCTGTACCCCTATTTTTGACATTTTTATCTATTATGTGTGTGTTTTGTTCCCGCAAATGACTAGTACCAATCAGGAATAGGGAATATGACAGTTGTTATCCATTCGTTTGATGTGTTTGAACTTTTGATTTTGCCATTTGATTAGGGGACTTTCCGTTTTGAATTTTCCTCGGAGTTCAGTATTTTTGTGATTTTACTTTTTAATGACCTTCCCGAAAATTTTACTGTTTTGAAACAGTAAAAACTCCCTGGAGTTATCTTCTTTTCTGTGTTGCATTCGTCTGGCCGTTAATTTTTTATGACGACAAGGTTTTTCATTTCAATGCCATAACATTGTTCATGGCGATAGTAAGACAATAGTAAAATTCAGGTTTTTTTTTGCTGCGCATACTAATAGGGATCCGAACACAGTGTTTTCCGTGTTAGAAAAAATAACCAGAGACAAATAAGTTTTAAACCTAATTTGGAATAATGGTCCGATCGATCAACATTGTTGGCCATTGTAAAAATATACGTGTATCCTTTAGCTCGTAGATTAATGTGTGGATTAGTGCAGTTTGATAAACGATCTACATAGGGTAGATCCGTAGTAGAGGCGGATCCAGAAAGTCCAATAAGAGGGGGCCCACTAAACCTGCTTAAGAGGGGGCCCGCTCCAGTCATGCTTCAGTGATTCCCTATGGTAATCAACCAAATTTTTTTCCACAATAGGGGGCCGCGGGCCCCCCGCCTGAAAAAAACCCTCTAAATCCGCCCTCTGGTTCGTAAAACATCCCTATTGAACTAATACCACAAATGACTGTAAGACCCTTGCTAGGGGGCCGGTCCACAGTTTCGGTTATGCGTGATGTATAAACACACAGTCGTTGAGGGCTGCTCTGATTGATTAATGAACGAGTTAGGATGATCCAATGTTTTGTACAAGACAATATATGCTGAGGTCGAATCAGTAAATGACCATTATTATGTGTTTTTTTTGACAATTAAAAGTAAAAAAAAAAATGACACTGATGAAGGACCGTTTGTTACGATATAAACTGCATCTTTTACGTTTAAATATTCTATAGCCAAAACTACTCTTTAGATAGACTCTTCACTTTTTAATTGGCAAGTGAGGCAGAATCGCTGGTTGGGTATTTGTATTTTTATATATAAAAACTAATTTAGAACATGTTTTATAATCTTCTGAGTGTCCGTTCCTCGCTATCGTTTTTTTTTCTTCTTGTTTTGAGAATGTGTAGGTAATATTCAGCTATTTATTGTATGCGCTGAATTTGTGTACAACTTATCTTCCGATTTAGAGCCGATTACGTTTATTGGGACCATGGAAGTAAAATATAATACTTCCATGATTGGACTTTATGATGACTTTAAGATATGAATAATAAGATTTGGG